TTTTATACACTGAAATCAAATCAAAAACAACATGAAACTATAGTCATGAACAGTGAACGAGTTAACTTCTCTTAATTTTTCTAGCGTGTTTATTTTGTTGACTTTTTCTGTCCGTGGTTTAAGTTTCATGTCAGCTAATATATTTTTATGTTTCAACAATTTTTTTTTACTAAATTTTCTCTCCTCGTAGATCCGCCACTGACTATCCAACGTGTAGCTACTCTTCAAATTTGTACTATTTTATCAAAAAACCAAGCATTTGCTCTGCAAATTCTATATTTTGCATTGCATTTTCCTATAAAAAAACAACGAGTTATTTATCTCGTAGTTTTTTTAAGCAGTGTGCAATATTTAATTACGTAATATTAACATTAATATTCAAAAACAATATTAAAAACCTTAATAATATTAGCAATATTTAAAACTTTAATGTACAGGGTATTTCAAAAAAGGTAACCCAAAGAAGGTAAGGTAGTAAAAATAATTGTGGTTTTCTTAGTAATAAATTTTTGTAACGCCATCCGTTTTTAAGATACAGGGCGTTGAAAAAAAAATTACGCATTTTTTACGATTTTGCAGAAACTACTGACAACATTGTAATGAAATTTTGTACGAATATGTTTTGGAAGCTGATACATCCTATGAATTTGTTTTTATATCGGATTTTCATAGAGGGCGCTAGTTACACGGATCGTACTAAATATTAGTCAATATAACTTTAAGAGTAGGTATAATTATTTATCAAAATTTCAAGTAAACTTAAACATCATTCAATTTTACTCAAAAAAGGTACTCTTGGTAAAACTCGATACTGTGTACTGTTTTCGGAATATTTTGATTTGAAAATTCTGAAGTAATAATTGATGCGACAGTCCAGCCAGTGTGGTGAAACGATTGTGTGAACCCATTATGAATTCCGGACGAAATTTAACCTGTGATAACTGGTTCACGTCAGTTCCTTTGCCCGAAGCATTAAAAAAGAAAAAAATTACTTTAGTTGGGACAATTAGAAAAAAACGTGAAATTTCTGAAATATTTGTTGCAACTAAAGAAAGGCCAATTCCTTGCAGTTTATTTGCTTTTGGTCGTGAATGTTTATTAGTTTCGTATGTCCCAAAAAAAATAAGAATGTCCTGCTTTTGTCAACCTTCCATGAATATGACGAAATTGACGAGGAAAGTGGTGAAGCTTGCAAACCAGCAGTACTTACTTTTTACAATCAAACAAAATCGGGAGTAACTTCAGTGGACCAACTGAAGAGTCTTTATTTAGTGGCAAGAATCACATTTAGGTGGCCATTGACTGTTTTTTGTACTATGCTAAACATCGCTGGAATAAATGGAAACATTATATTTAGGACAAATGTATTAGATTCCTGCCAACCAAGACGTGAGTACCTGCAAATTTTAGCCAAACAACTCATTACCCCACATATTATGCAAAAAAGAGCGGCCCAAAACTTGCCATTTCTGCTAACTTTGCAAATTAAAATATATCTGAATCTTCCTTTGACACAGAAAAGAGATGTTCCGAGGAAAATCAAGCAGGTGGAAGGCCAAAATGCTCCTATTGCCACAAGAAAAAAAAATCGGAAAACAGCGTCAAAATGCGCCAAGTGTTTCAGAGCAATTTGTAAAGAACATACTATCACCATTTGCACAGAGTGTGAACGCGACGAAGTTCCTGAATCTGAGTAATTTTTTTTTATTATTCTAGTTGCTGTTTCAGAATGCTTATTTATGTAGATGTACCAAACTTTACATTTTATGTTTTATTCGTTTTTGTATTTTGTTAAAAATATTGCCATTTTAGCTTTGATAAATAAATCATTATATTTATGCCTTTTGTTTTTTGACTCATAAAAAGTCAAAATACGTCATATACATGACAACTGAGCTTCACGCTCACCTGCGACTAATGGTGGTTCATTTAACCATGCAACTAACGTAGGGTTAAAGGTAACGATATCTGACACAATTGGTGCAACAGCAGACACCTTTTTCCAATACGGGCACTAAATTTTATTGTGTGTTGTATGAATTTTATTTTATTTGTTGAATATGATGAAATAACAGTATGCACACATTTGTGAATAATTAGGAAGGAATTATAATATTTGTTAATAGCTCCTCATTCGTTATAATGAATCAACAGTTAATATAATTACTGTGTAAATGGGAATAAGCCACAATTAAAGGTTAAAGTAAGTTTATTAACGTTTCAATTTCCACTTCGGAAATCATTCTCAAAATTTCAATTTTTGAAGTGGAAGTTAAAACGTCAATAAACTTACTTTAACCTTTAATTGTGGCGTTTTCCTATTTAAATGGTAATTACTTTAAAATGCCACAAGAAAATAGCATCAGAACAACAACAATTAACAAGCACAAAACTGCGTGATAATTATAACATCAACATATTACATGCTATTTAATTCTATTTTGTACAAGAAATACCATTTGTTGGATGTATCTACAGGATCACAGAAAAATTTGTCTGGTTGATATTTCAAGCGATTTCTTTTTATTCTGATTCATTCTAGACTAGGCGGGACCTGTAGAAATTCATACCATAATGAACATTTTCCATAGGAAGCTATTTTATTACTGGAATCTCTTTAGGACGTGCCCAATATCGATAATTACGATATGCGCTAGTCGCAAACCCTCTGCTAAATTTTTTATGTAACAAAATCTGAAAACAATTGAAAATTTCTCATTTTTTTGCTGCTATTGTCTTTTATAATTCGAAAAATATTGATCCTAGAGAAAAAATTATAAAAAGCTAAAAGTTTCGTTATTCAATTTTACACAATATTTCGTCAGCTAGAAATTGAAAATTTAATGTTTATTGTTGAAAAAATAGCAATAATTGGAAAAAAAGTACAAAAAAAATGAAGTTAATCCTTTAAATGTTTTCGACTTTCTAAACTTGACTTATAAGCTGCACATTCCGCCTAGAAAAACTTTTTAATATGTTTAAAACGTGTGCTAAATTTTGTTAAGATCGGTCGGATAGGTTTTGCATAATAATTTTGCAATCCAGCCTACTGAAAAAAAAAATCGAAAATTTTCAAATTTATAGAAGGTTCTAAATAAGGCCCTCAGATAGTTTGTAAATTTTTTTACATATAAAGGAAAGCTCAAACTTTCAAACGCTTTTTGTAAAATTCAAATAACTTTAAACATATCAATTTCAAAATTTATACACTTAAAGAACATTAAAAGACACTTCTTTAAAAAAAAAAGATACATTCGGCTTACTAGTTGCCGAGATATTGAAGGTTAGAGTTTTTATATGAAAAGTTTTACGTAATGCTTACGTAAACATTTATTTGCAATAAACAATTGTATGTTAAACAAATAATTGCATTTTTTCTTCATGCATTTTTTTGAGCTTGCAATTTATACATTAAAGTAAATTGTTACTTTTAGTAAACAAATATGTATTTATAAATTGTTAATAATTTTTTTAACAATTCAAATTATTTATTAACAATTTATAAATACATATTTGTTTACTAAAAGTAACAATTTACTTTAATGTATAAATTTCAAGCTCAAAAAAATGCATGAAGAAAAAAATGCAATTAATTTTTTAACATACAATTGTTTATTGCAAATTTTCCAATTTGCAATTAAAAATGGTATTTGAAAATATGATATTTAAAATCCTTGTCGTCCGAGACATCGATTAAAAATAAGAGCAAAATTGGTTACCAAGAAGCCGAGATAATGCAATTTTTAGCGCGCGCTATGATTTTGAACTCACCGATTTACATTTCGAGTAAATGTCCCCCACCACCACCTCTCATGCATTCTGAGCGACATTTTACGCAAAAACGGTTTTTTATTTGTCTTTTTTATGGATGTTGCCATGAAGCGCATTACGTAAAACTTTTCATATAAAAAGTACTTGACAAGGCGAGGGTATTTGTTTAAAAACGAGCCCTCTATCATTTATGGTTACACATCAAATTTATGCCAACTTTGACCTTCAATATCTCGGCAACCAGTAAGCCGAATCTATCTTTTTATTTTAAAACCCGTCTTCTAATATTCTTTAAATGTATAAATTTTGAAATTGATATGTTTAAAGCTCGTAAAGTTATTCAATAGGTTTATAAGCCTAAAAAATGTTAAAAACTTTAAAAAAATTTCTAGGCTCTTCTAGTGAACCGATTTGAATTTTACAAAAGGCGTTTGAAAGTTTGAGTCTTCCTTTACATGTAAAAAAATTTGCAACTATCTGAGGGCTTTATTTAGAAACTACTATAAATTTGAAAATTTTCGATTTTTTCCAGTAGACTGGATTGCAAAATTATTATGTAAAACCTATCCGACCGATCTTAACAAAATTTAGCACTCGTTTTAAACATATTAAAAAGTTTTTCTAGGCGGAATATGCAGCTTGTAACTCAAGTTTAGAAAGTCGAAAACATTTAATGGATTAACTTCATTTTTTGTACTTTTTTTCCAATTATTGCTATATTTTCAACAATAAACATTAAATTTTCAATTTCTAGCTAACGAAATATTGTGTAAAATTGAATAACGAAATTTTTAACTTTTTATAATTTTTTCTCTAGGATCAATATTTTCCGAATTATAAACAAAAATACGAACAAAAAAATAAGAAATTTTCAATTGTTTTCAGATTTTGTTAAATAAAAAATTTAGCACAGGTTTGCGACTGGCGCATATCGTGATTATCGATATTAGGCACATCCTGAAGAGATTCCAGAAAAAAAAATAGATTCCTATGAAAAATGTCCAATCCAAAACAGATCCCGCCTAGACTATTTCCCCTTATTCTAATCCGCGACAGTAGTTTGTAGTTAGTTAAATGCTTTTCAAAATTTCAGTTCTGTTCCACGATATTGTGTGGCCTGCTACAACTAAATATTTGGAAATAAAAAAGTCTAATTATTTTTTATTTAAAACCTAAGCTAATTACCTAGACTCTACTGTTTACTATAATCTTTTTTTTTTATTTTATAGTAATCCTGTAGTACCTTGCGATACTTTGCCAACTGTAGACTTATCCTTATGGAAAGACTTTGGGGCAGGAGTTGGAGATCAACAAACCATACCCTTTAGTCACGGTGGATTAGGTTCTCATCCTGTTTATGGAAAATAAATTGGTCATATTCTATTATATTTTTATACTGAAATGTAGGTGAATTTAGAAACTAGTGTATTATTTAACTATTGAATTGATTTAAACTATTTAACTATTTAATTGAATTTAATTGATATTGGTAGTGTTTATACGTTTGTCAGATTGGCCATTGGTTTAATAGAAATATTATAATAGTAAGTTGTAAGGGTTACATAAAATATGTTATGTTTCATTATTGTTAATTACTTGTGTACGTCAGCATTGTTCCCTAGTTTGTTCTTTTGTTGTCACTTTGTAAGCAAAATATTGTCTGTCCACCATGAATTATTTTTAATTGCTTGGGTTTTCTTTATAACTATTAGTAAATACAATATCTACTTTTGGGCGAATTAATGTGAATACAAGCAATAATTCTAAATAAAAATTATATAAGTTCGTTATGGACAAAAAAAGAGAAAAACTGCAATTTAACTTATTTTACTATGGTATATGGCCTTCTTGGATTTTATTACTTTTTAAACGCATTTTTTGTATACAGTTAACAAATTTTTTATACTCTAAATATTACACATTTTTAGTGTTTGGTCTCGAAACCATATCTGTATGATAGTGTAATAAACGCCGTTACTACTGTAACAAACGCTGGTCACCACTGCAATACTAGCGGAGACAAGACCGCTGTCACCCCTGTAACATCCTCGATTTAAACTCCAAAAGGATGCTTATCTCTGCGAGCGGAGGCAAGGATTACTGGCGCTCAACTAGTCTGAATGGATGTGGTTTCTCCCACGCGGATTTACAAGAGGGTAGGGAATTATCTGGAATAAAGAGATGAAGGACGTATTTTGAATATGTTCTCTCCACTACAAATATACCTATACATTCAAAACATGGTATATTGTAAGAGCCTCCATAAAAAAACTATAAAGGCTCTATTTTCCAAAGAAAAATGGAATATTAAATGGGTGGAATGATATTTAAAAAAGCACGAAAACAAACACATGGATTCGCAATAAGACAAAAGGACAAGATGTATATAATTGAAATCTTTAAATGAAGATCGGCAAGATTGTTAATCATAATAGAAGACTAGAGAAGGGGTAAAAAGGTTACTATATGAAGACCGAGAACAGGCAGAACAAACAGATAACTCAAATGCAAGATAGGGAGATCCTCTATCTATTAGAGATATTCTCTAACGGCTATGACATAATCATAGCCGTTAGAGGATATATATACCTTGATAAAGCATATTCTTACATCTAGGAATGGAGTAGAAGATGCTGGTAAATGATGGTTAAGCTTATTGACCAAATTTTAAAATATTTGCTGTATCACCTGTAATTTTCAGATGTAATGTTTTACCTTCACCATCAAATATTTCAGCATGTTTGCGATTTATTTAGCTTTTCTATGATATTCTCATATAAAATATTTTTTGTTTTAAACTTTGAGGGTATACATGGCAACTATCGAACACGGTGATTAATTTAATCTTGCCCAAGTACTTTCGATCAATAGATCATCTTCAGGGGCATTTCGTCAGTTGTGGCCTATCCGACATAGTAGAATGTCATAAATGTAAAATTTGGACATAACAATACAAAATACAATACACTAAGACAAACAAACACTTTAAAATTTATAAGGAAAAGCTACATGTTGTATAGAAGCCGGAGACAGAATTCTTGGGCAAGATTATTGATCGAAAGTACTTGGGCAAGATTAAATTAATCACCGTGTTCGATAGTTGCCTTGTATACCCTCAAAGTTTAATTATTCGAACATTCAACCTTATATTGATTTTTTGTTTTATTTGTGTAATAAAACCTAATGTATAAAATCAGTCATTTGCAGTAAATTTTGTATGTACTTTTAATTACAAGTAAAATAATTTTATAAAAATTCATGTTTTTAAAATATAATAAAATCTTAACTTTACTTATATATTTAATACTTTTGTTCCAATTCACTATAGATTTGGATTTTTCTCTTTTCTTTTTGGAGTTAAAGATAGTTCGCCTCAATCAGTATTATTTATAATTATAGTGTTACTACTTTTACAACATATCCCTAATACATGCTCTACTCGTATTATTATTTGTAATCTGGAATGTTTAACATTATGTTAATATTATGTTTTAATACATTAAACGCGTAGATTAGTGATTTTTTTGTATATTCTAAGCCAATATTTATTTTATTAATTGACATCTTTTGCAGTCAAATATCATTTTTGTTGTATTTTTTATAATAAATAATTCATATATTAATTGAGTTATTATTTTAACTGTTAACTTTCTTATGTATCATAACACTTATCTATCATCTATCATAGCTTACTATTATAGACCTATATCTTATATCTCATTTATTTAATAGTTTTTTACTACATGCAATAAGATGGCCTTTAATTCGTTCACAAATTGTTGAGACAACGAAATGTGCCTCAAAGTAATAAAACGGTCGTAAAATTTGTATCATCGTAGGTATTCTTGAGTTTTTATTCATTAAAATTAATGCGTTTTACATTTATTTTCCTTTCCAAAATGTTTATTAATATTAATAATGTTTTAATACTAATATATTTAACAAAAAACAGTTAAAACTGTCACGGCTAATGTTGGTTATTATATTATAATAAAAATAAGAATTTAATTTTGTAAATAAGATTACCTTATCTCTTTGGATATTTCAATACTAATCTTCGCGTTTAATCACTTTACTAGAAAACCTGGAATTCATATCCAAAGGTACTATTCGTTGCAAGATAATTAAGGTAGAATTCCCCAGATTTTTAATAATATAATGGGTATAAAGATGCTGGCTTTGGCCACGTGCCTCGTCTGTTCAGTGTATATTCGAAACTTTACTTAAAAGGGTGAAGTTATTACGAACGAAAACAATTTTTTTGTTTAGTACGTTTTTGATCGCATGTAATTTACGGCTCGTCGGTGTTTCCGCGTTTACGGCAGTAATTAGCGTCTCGAATATTTAGTTTGCGAATTATATTATCACGCAGTGCGTGAGTAATTTTTTATTCCATATACCTACGAACATAGACGTACCTTTCGCTCGTGATCGTTTTGTTAGATTGTTTGTGATGGCTTCATCATCAACACCATCAAGTTTTACACCGGTACTGTTGCGTACAGTCAGTAAGTCTGTCTATTCACCAAGAGAGAAGACTATTGTCATGAATGTTCACGATGCTCTGGTTTCTAAGAATTCAAAAAACACTGTTCGCAACATAGTCAAAAGTTGTGCCAACATGACTGGCGTAGGGGAGTCAACTATATATAGGTTCCTATCAGAAAGAAAAAAACACGGTATAGCTAACCCAAACACAAACGAACACTTAAAGAGAGGGAAAAAGCCTATTGAAATTGATGAATTTGCCAAAAATGGTATTTAATTAGTGTGCAAATTCTCTGATACATTAAATTTACACACACACACACACACACACACACACACACACACACACACACACATATATATATATATATATATATATATATATATATATATATATATATGAAATATCAATTTTCTTTAGTGTTGACTTTAACTTTTGTTTGTATTGTGTATTCATTGTTTGTTTGATATTATTTTTAGCTTTTGGTTTTTATTAAAACTTAAACCTTAATAACTTACCTTATCTGACCTTATCTAATTATACGGGTGTGGCAAATAAAGTTAAGATACTGTAAATTTAATTAAATCAACAACAAAATTTAAATAAGTCGGACAATTTTCAATGAAAGGTGACTAATCTACAAATTGAACTAAACGGTAGCGGCAACCATAAAAAATTTCATTAGTAAATTCTTACCGGGGTCATTGTTATTGTGTATGCTTCGCCCATGTAAATATGTAAATTTGTAACCCATCTAAGATAAATTTGCCCCCGTAATAATATAAATTGGTGCGATTCACGAGTGCATAGTGAGACAAGTTCATAGAATAGTTTGGAACATCGGTAAAATTATCAATATTTTGCTATATATATATATATATAATATATAATATATATATATATATATATATATATATATTATTATATATATTATTATGGTTTTATGGTATATATATTATTATTTTGGTCTATATATATTATTATGGTTTTTAGAAAAAATGTTAATTAGAGAAATATGATATTTTAGTTTATTGAAGTTTATGAAATATGATATCTTCCAGATTTTATACATAGGTACATAGGCGTAGTGTATTATTGGGAATCTATTTATTAAATATACTTTATTATTAACTTTAAAATAGTTTTAAGGTAAGTAAAGTAAATTTGAGGCCAGTTTATTCTTTATATAGTATTAAACCCTTAACGGCCGCTCAATATACAAAGAGAAATTTAACAATTAATTTATTAGATTGGATTAAAAACACAAATTAGGAATAAATTACAACCAAAAATATTTTTTTTCTCATGTTTAAGGAAAACAGTACAATTTTTAATAAAGGAACATATTGTATCTTAAACGTAAATTAAATTTTAAGGTAAAAATTTTCGAAATATTCGGGGTGTAGATGCATTCTACACTTTTTACATAAATAAATAGTATTACTTTTGTACATCCTATATTTTTGCACTATCGTCTCTTTTTATAATGTGGCCAATATTGTCGAATCTGGTTTCATCTGGTAAAGCAAATTTAGATTGACGCCCATGTACTGACACTGATGTAGCGGTTTCTTCACTATTATAAATTAAAATTATAAATTTATGTCGGCTCATGCTTTCTCTTATAATATGCACTTCTTTATCCTCATCCTTTGACCAATGCATATCAACTTGAAGCAGAGTGTAAACCAGATAATATACATATGCTAATAATTTTTTTAAATCTATGTTATTCATTTCAAAATTGTGACGGTTATTCTCAATTACTATTTTATCAAAAAGAGTGAAAAAACTTAAATATATGACTTGCCTACATGATTGGCTTTTATATTGTCTAAATATCAATCAGACTGATGTTGAATTACTACTGAGTACGAAATAATATTACAACTTGAGATAAATTTGGATTTACTATTTTCGCCTGAGAAATGAGAACGTTATTACAACTTGAGATAAATTTGGATTTACTATTTTCGCCTGGTTTTTTCTATGGGCGTTTTATCTGTGGTTCAGAGGAATATCATAATCAGAATCGTTAGAATTCCCAATTACTTGTATTTCATACGTACCTGCAATATCCGATTTTATTGATCCTTTACAAGTAATATTATCATCAATCTCTTCAAGGAATACAATAATATACCAGCAAACGAATGGAAAAGATACCTGACGGAACTGTTTAAAGCAAAGGAAAATAATAATCAACACAATAACGTACCTGAACTAAGAGACCAAATAGAAATCAGTTTTGACGAAGTAGAAATAGTCATAAATTCACTCAAAAATAGAAAGTCACCAGGACCAGACGGAATAACCAACGAGCTTCTAAAATACGGATGAGAAAGTTTAACGCTAGAGATGACAAAACTTATACAAAAACTAATATTGCACTGCAAGATACCAGACGCATGGAGAAACAGTAAAATGATAACAATGGTCAAGAAAGGAGATAAAGAAGACCCCAACAATTATAGAGGTATAAATCTACTGAACACCGCACTTAAGCTTTAGATTCAGATCCGGATGATCCTGCGTAGACGCCGTATTTGTACCAAGACAAATCACAGAAAAGGCCATCATATCTATGTTTTATAGACCTGACAAACGCTTTCGATCGCATCCAAGTCGAAGACGTCTTACACCTACTGTATAAAAGGAACATACCAATCAATATTATACAAACCATCGAAAGCATCTACCTCCATAATCGAATACAGGCAAAGATAAATGGAAAACTAACACAGTGTATACCAGTACAAAGCGGAGTCAGACAGGGTGACTCGTTAAGCCCACTTCTCTTTAATATATTAATGGACGAAATAATACAAGCAGTACGTAAAAGTCATGGCTACAGAATTGGGAACAAAGAAATCCAAATATTATGTTATGCAGACGACGCCGCATTAATCGCCGAGACAGAAGACTAGCTCTAAAGATTAACACATATCTTCAATACAACAGCTAAAAAATACAATATGATAATATCAGCGGAAAATACAAATATATGACATTTAAATACCCACTACGGTGTAAAATCGAAATTGATGGGAAAATAATAGAGCCGGAAGCAAGGGTTAGATATCTGGGAATAGATATAACTAGTTACGGAGATGTTAAAGAAGAAGTAAGACAGCAAAGCTTAAAAGCAAGTAAAGCAGCGGGTTCTCTTAATGACACAATCTGGAAGAACAAACACCTAAGACAAGATACAAAAACAAGAGTCTATAAAGCAGGAATTAGACCTACATTAACATACACGGCTGAGACAAGACGTGACACATCTAAAACGAGACGGCTGCTAGAAACAACAGAGATGAAAATACTCCGACGAATATCAAGGAGAAGTCTGTTGGATAGGGAGAGAAGCAAAAACATAAGAAGAGCATGCAATATAGAAGACATAAATGGATGGGTGACAAAACGAAAACAAAAGTGGAACAAACACATTAGTAGAATGGGGGAGGATAGAATAGTACGAATAGC